TATTTCTTTTAAAAAACGTTACCCCCACACTAGAATTTTCTCCTGTGTCGTGGAGGCAGTTTACAAACATAAATTGCACAAGGACAAACATCCAGACCCGGAACAATTATTTGGAGGCCATACAAATATTTGTTCCGTGCGAGATTCGAACCAGCAGCCCCCAGCGTTACAACTGATTGCTAAGCCACTGCGCCACGGAGCCGTTTACGCTCATTACTACTGTATCATCCACCAAGAGGCGTTGTGGTCAAAATTTTTCGTTTTGAACACGTCATAAAGATTGTCGTAAAGATAGTTAATTCTATTAGGGCTGTCGCAATGCAACTACATTTGTTTCGGCAGCTTTTGCAAGATGAAGATGCTGAGTACGCGGACTTGATATTGCATACGCAAGTTCGATGGCTGAGTAGAGGCAAAGTGGTTGTACGCTTTCTCGGTTTAATAAACGAAATCAAATAGTTCATGGCAACGACAAAAGAAGATTATCCACAGTTGACTGATCCCTCAAGCCATGCAGATTTGGGGTTTCACACTGATACAATAATAAAACTGAAAGAACTGAACCTAAAAATGCAAGGAAAAAATTGTCATGTTGTGATTGGATTATGGTTGGATCGCTGAATACATTCAATGCCAAACTGAATTTATGGAAATCCCATTTACTGAGAAATTCAACTTCACACTTCCCAAACTTAAAGAAAATGTTCGATCACATGAATGTATGTGTAAAAGATATTAATACCATTTCGTTTGCCCCACAATTAGATATACTTTTGGACTAATTTAATTCTCATTTTTTTTTAACAATTTAAGAATCTTGAGCCTATTTTGGAATTCATAATGAACCCATTCGCAGAAGGTGATGTTTCGGAAAAGATCAGAATCTGGCATAGAAAATTACCATTAATTAGAGATGGAAATAATAACAATGATGAACAACTTGAGCCTGAAATCATACGTGAGGAACTTTTGGAATATTAGTGATGAAAATAAATATCCAATTTTAAGGAAATCACCTCTTAAAATACACGCGTATAGTGCATATACGTACGCATGCGAATCCATATTTTCAACAATGAATATAGAAGCAGAATTACAAATGTAAATTTGCACCATTGTATGAGGACTGATACTTCAAATTATGAGCCAGATTTCATCAAGTTGTCGGAATAAATGCAAGGCCAAGGATCACACTAATAATTAGTAACTAATTGTAGTAATAACTGTCTTTGTGTAATATTTTATTTGCCTTTACCATTCATGCGCCCATCGGGAGAAAATTATTTTAGAATGAGCTCTTAGGCTGGATAAGGTTACCGACCCCTGCTCAAGGGCAGTAGTCTAGGGTAGGGCAGACAAGTCTGGACGTGGAGTCGGGGTGTGTTGATTCAGTTTTAGTACAGATTTGAGCTATCTTATCTATAAAGTCAGGTAGCCCTAAACTCAGCTATGACAGTGGTAAATGAAACAAAGTAATGTGAATTGTTATAATTTTGTTTTCTGAAAAACCTTCTTACGAGCCAAGCATCGCGATTCCCGAAGAATGTCTTGCAAGTTGCTTGCGTTGGGCATCACAGAACTCACATAGTAGCGAAAATATGGTCAGAATAGATACTTTACCTAAACTTACTAACCATTTCACAATGTATTTTTTTTATTCTTCATTGACAGTCCTTAGTAACCACGGAAAGTTCGCCGTGACTTAGGAAAGGGAAAAGATGCAAAGTAATACGGACACTCGCACGCAGTGATAAAGTTTTATTTAGCTTGCGTGTGCGATTTGTTTAACTAATAATAATTATGTAGGCTATTATAACGTCGGCAAGCAGACAACATCAAAGGAGTGCAACTTCTGTAGGTTTTTTTAATGGTATAAGGGTAACAAACGAGCACACAATCCACCTGATGGTAAGTGTTTGCTGTGGCCCATAGACATCTACATCTATCCACGTTTGCAAATCAAAATGCAGATGCGTTGTCACCCGTGAGGACTAAGATGGAATGCCTCGTTTCCAGTGAAAAGGGTCTCCGGTTCTCTACACTCACCATACGAAACACAGCAGCTTTAAGTTGCTATTTTACGCTGGTATTCTGTGAGAGCTTGGTCCTTCCCCGGTGGAGCCGACCTATTCGTGCTACACCTATACTATTAATATATATACTAGTACTATTATTTATATAGTTTGAATATGTTTTAATATGACAATTTTGAATTTCTTCTCGTTTGAGTATGACCATTGGGAATTTCTGCTCTAATTTGACCACGACCATTAGGAATCGCTAATATCATCAATTATTATATATAATAAAATAATAACTAGCTGACCATGCAGACGTTGTTCTGCTCTCTCCGGCGACCCTGTGTTCTACTAAAATTCTTAAATTCGTAATAAAAAATATTGAGGGTCACTTATAGGGATAAAAACTATCCTATCTCTCAAGTTGGACCAAACTGCACAGTGTGCAAAATTTCATTGCAATCAGTTTAGTAGTTCATCGCGGACACACAATGTGAAACGTAATTTTTATATATAAAGATAATAAATAATTTAAGTATGACCATACTAAATTACCGTTTTATATAGGAGTGAGTATTTATAAGCAAGACATAAAGCGCGCGTAGCGCTCATCGCCTACTATGCCGACAGTAAACAGGTGTTCTATAGATACTTATACACAGATGAAGAGGTTAAAATAGTGATGCACCATGATTGAATTGACGCTTAAGAGTTAATTTCATTAAATTTACAATCAAATTTATAATTAGTTTTTAATAATTTTATTAGTGTTTAATTTTAATTAGTCTTCGCCAAACAATGGCGGTAGAGCAAGCTCCAATACGGCGTATCATGAAATCATATAACTACACTGATCTTGACATTTTTTCTTTATCATTTTAAATGTTTAAAATGTGTATTAAAAAAAAGTACTATTAAGTAAAGTATTGCCTCTTAGTTTAAACAGATTACTATAGGTGTAACTGTTGTTTCTCGAGACAAGTATTGGTTAGCATAGCTACTATAGTGGTTGTGTTGGCTGGGATTTGCTCAGGGAAATCTCGAATTATGATCTACTTGTGGTATCATACAACAAGTTTCAAACATAATATTACTCTTATTGTGATATTACTTTGTGGATAACGATGCTGGTTGTGTAATTACTTGATCTTCCTTTTTATAAGACCTGTATCTGTATTATGTCGTATTACACAATTGTTAATCCGTTACGGATTAGTAAGCTGAAGTGGCAGTGGACCGGCCATATAGCTCGAAGAACCGACAACCGATGGGGAAGAAAGGTTCTTGAGTGGCAGCCTCGTACCGGTAGGGGAAAGTGTAGGGCGACCCCCCACGAGATGGAGTGACGACCTGGTAAGACATGCAGGAAGTCGATGGATGCAGGTGGCTCAGGACCGTGCTTTGTGGCATTCCTTGGGGGAGGCCTATGTTCAGCAGTGGACTTGTGAAAGGCTATAATGATGATGATGATGATGATACAATTGTTTGTGGTCCTGAATCAAATAAAATAAAAATTAAATAGATAAAAAAGTAATAGGTAATTAATAATTATTTAGTAAATATTTTGTAAGTAAATAAATATATAGTAACAGGAATGAATTTATAAAACGATGATTATTAAATAAAAACAAAAATCTAATTAAGTTACTACCACTTAAAAAGGTTCAATTTATTATACAGCTGCCTTTTTGATAGCGATCAAGATATTTTATCCTAATTTCTACATTTTTTTGAATGACAACACGCAGTAAATAAAAAAAATGGTTGCTGCATGGAAATTGATGGAAATCATGAAGACACGTAAAAACTTCAAGGACTCAGTAATTAAACTAAGAGTCATTATTTTTGAAAGCTATGTTTTCTTTTTAATTTATTGTTTCAGCTTTTATACAAATGTATATTACGTCCAATTGGAAAGACCACCTCTGTCTTTCATTAAAATAAATTTATAAAAATGATTTATTTCTCTTGATAGCAGTAAAACTTGACTCTAGCAAAAATCTGACCACATAGCCAGCTCTGTAGGAAGGAAATCACTTGTTTTGATGGTTCAGATATAAGAGTGTCAGGTAACGCCAAATCATTTCCACGGTCAACTATAACATACAGAACTCCTAATGTTGGGCTCTTAGTTGATAATTCACGGGTTTTCGGAAAACTGAAATTATATAAGTATTTAACCGCATTAAACATTGTTATATTCTTGTATAACAAAGCTATTAAATTGAATAAAACTACTTTTACGGATTTTATTAATTTTGGTTAATAATTAAAAAAGCTGAAGGTACTCCGGGTTAACTCTGACATCGGGACGCCAATCACCTCAGTCCTCCGAAACATCGGCAATTAATAAAAATAAGCAAAATAAGTTAATTAAACGCGATAAAATCTGTAAAAGTAGTTATAAAGCTATTAAATGTTTTATTTTATGATCCATATGGGTGAGGAATTGACAGGTTTCATCGAACTTTTCAAGTCGATGATAGTAATATCATAGTTCTTATGTTGCTTCTGTGAATCGTTTTTGCAGCTTGGCACTGCACATTTCACCATGATAACTAAAAATTCTATTAAATATAGCGAAATAATTAACGCGCGTGATCTTTCGTGACTAATAACATCGTCCTGGCCATTTCGGGACTGTTCTAATGCGTGTTTACAGTTCTGACTTGCTTACACGCGCTCTATAGTTTACTTATAAATACTCTAAGAATATATCCATTCAAAATTATTAATTTAGACATTATGTGACCACTGCAAATAGCCCTTTTGTGATAGTGATAATGCGTCGCGTAATTACGTTACTCCTTTATTGACTATTAAGAATTGTTGTCCTTCTTTAACCATGAGTTTTTGGAATTGCTGCCCTTCTCTAACAATGAACATCGAAAATTGCTACTCGAAGGTCAAAGTACCGTAATCATTTCAAATAATTACCCTACTTTAATAGTAGCTATTAAAATACCACTGTATGAAACTTACCAGATCCTGTTCGGATATGAAGGCATCGTCCTCAAGTCGCGCGACGAGTTTATTGCCGCTGTCGTCTAGCTCGGGATCGCACAGCGCGCCCTGCCCAGAGCTGCGCCGCCGATACCCGCCCACTCCCACTCCCACTCCCACCACGGGCTGACTCGCCTAAAACAAATGAAAATCATACGGCCATCAACTTTCGATATATAATCACAGTAGTAGTCTTACTAAAGCTATAAGTCACTAAATCACGAGGAAACCAATGGCAACAGACCTGCCTAATATAAGCTTATTCATTTGCAAGTAGGAAACTAACTACTTAACTAACTCGTAAGTATCACAACATTAGCTTCATTTGACCAAACTGGGTACCTTCAGATGATAGATATGATAGATTTACTTATTAAAAAAAATTACTTTGCATTGTTAATGGCAAACCTACATACATCTTGATAAACGATTGTTAAAAGAAGCGATGCGATAAAATAATACAGGTTTAAAACAATTGAAGCATCTATGTGAATGTATCTGTAAACACACTTTGCAGATCTCTAAATACTTTTATAATATTTTACGACGGTTGACTGTCCGGTGACCAATGAACTATGTTTCAACATTCCATGTAACTGATACATAGGCTGCACTAAAAGTATCGGGAATGGAATATTTCTACTGTTCCTGTCATATTAAAATCTTTTTAATTGAAAAGTCCTTGGTTTTTTAAAATTGAATACCATTTATTTATTTAAAAAAAGATTCTCGGTCTTGTCACAAGGTTTTATCAAACTTGTTTAGTCGTTGAGAAAATGGAATTGACTCGAGAAAATACAAGAGCGATGATTTATTATGACTTTCGAAGTGGTTTAACACAAAAACAGTGTGTTGACCGGATGATTTCTGCATTTGGTGATGAAGCCCCATCCAAAACCACAATTTATCGCTGATTTGCTGAATATCAACGTGGACGTGTCAAGCTCAGTGATGATCCCCGTCAAGGTCGTCCAAGAACTGCAGTCACCCAAGAAAACGTTGATGCTGTGCGTAAGCTGATTGAGAAAGATCGACATGTGACATACCGCGAAATTCAGGCAACTTTAGACTTTGGCATGAGACAAATACAAATAATCTTGCATGAACAATTAGGTGTAAAAAAGTTGTTTTCCCGATGGATACCGCATTTGCTCTGTGAAGAGCAAAAGCGGCTCGCGTTACTTGGTGCGTCAGAACTCTCGAAAGATTGCACGCAGGATCCTCAAATGCTGTATACAACATCGTATCAGGTGACGAATCCTGGATATACTCGTACGAACCCGAAACAAAAAACCAGTCACGAGTTTGGGTGTTCGAAAATGAGTTAAAGCCAACAAAAATTGTTCGTTCACGGAGTATTACAAAAAAAATGGTGGCCACGTTTGTCTCCAAAACCGGCCATGTTACGACTATTCCTCTTGAGGGACAAAGAACGGTTAATGCAGAATGGTATGCTAGCATTTGTTTGCCACAGGTCGTTTCTGAACTCCGTAAAGAGAACTGCAACCGCCGCATCATCCTCCATCACGACAATGCGAGTTCTCACACCGCACACAGAACAAAAGAGTTTTTAGAGCAAGAAAACATAGAATTATTAGACCATCCGCCGTACAGCCCTGACCTAAGCCCTAATGATTTCTATACTTTCCCTAAAACAAAGAATAAATTGCGTGGACAGAGATTTTCATCACCTGAAGAAGCTGTGGACGCCTACAAAACGGCCATTTTGGAGACCCCAACTTCCGAATGGAATGGTTGCTTCAATGATTGGATCCATCGTATGGAAAAATGTGTCAAATTTCGCGGAGAATACTTCGAAAAGCAATAAATACATTTTTAAATAGTAATGTTGTGTCACTTCCTTGATTCCCGAAATTTTCAGTGCCGCCCTCGTATGAATGATGTGTACGTATTTTTATTTTACAAGTTATTTTAAAGATAAAGTAGTGGCACTCACCACGCTGGTCGTGAGTGAGTTGAGCATGTCGAAGGTGTTGCTCTGCTGCGTGTGTATGATGGCGAGCGCATTGTACGGCCGCGGGCCCAGCACCGGCGCCTTCATCACGCCCACCTCGCCGCCCATCACCACCTAAATCATCACATACTCTGTAATATTTTATATTGATTTGTTCATTGATTAGGGCTGATTTTTCAATCGCCAGATAAAGTATCAAATAAATGATAACCTGACTGAATATAAAAATAAAACAAACCATTTTATTTATTTATATATCGGTAATTTTTAATGCTCATGTGCAAGTTTTATTTTATTCTGTAAATATTTTTTTATCTAAGAATTGAAATAAGACATTAATAAGGAAAACTATTAAAATACAATAACGAAATTAAAATAATAAATATAAAGTATGTGAACACCAAAATTAAAACTAGAACAAACAAATACTTTTACAACTCTTTTTTTTTTAATTCTAAAGACATTTAAAAAGATCTAAATGTAAGCAATAATAACTTTTTCACAAACTTCTTAAAACATTAGATTTGTTTAATACTATAAAACCTATGTTTATTATAGCAGTCTCACTTTGAAAGTCTTCTCCTTGCCATGAACAGTCTTCTCCTTAGCTGGTAGCACCGTGGACTCCAAGTGGTGAGCTGGCTGCGAGATCTGGTGCCCATGCCCATGCAGGCCCGATGTCATCTGACGAGTAAACAATATCAAAATTAAATATGAAAAACGAATTAATTAAAAATAATATAGTATAAAAGGTTGGAAAATTGAAATACGCCCACTTTATCTATAAATGCCCTTGTAAACCTTGCAGCTTAAAGCACGAGAATTTGACTACCGACTTCTTCCTCACTCGTAAAATTCCACTGCTGCCCGTCGCCGGCCTGGGTTTATACACGGTTATTTTTTATAGGCGAATGGTGAAAGAATTTGAGGTACCAATATTAGTTATTGGGACTACTTGCATAATTTTGTTGTAAATAGGTTTACGTCGTTGATAAGCAAAAATACATTTTTTAATTTTATTATGACGATCCTAATCCCGTTAAATGTGAGAGGAAAATTGGAATTATTAATCGTGTCGTGTAGTTATTAACTTAAGCATTAGTAGTAAGCGACAAGAAAGTAAACAGTAGGCAAAACCTTGAGAAACGAAAACGTGAATTCAATCGCACACACAGAGGCCTACATTCAGTTTGGGATAATTTCGAATGAAAGTATAAGCTTTATTTACTCGTATTATTAAAAACTGTAAAATCGGTATATCATTACTTATACGTTTGAACTTAAATATAAATAAAATGAGGCTACTCAGTCGTCAGGGATGACAACGCATCTGCATTTTGATTCTTAATTGAGGATAGATGTAGATGTCTATTGGCCGCAGCGACCACTTACCATCACGTGGACTGTGCGCTCGTTTGTCATCCTAATCCTATAAATATATATATGATCCAAAATAGCTTCAATATTAACAAAAAAAAAAACTAAAATCTGTTTAATTTTAATGATACAGTAGCGTCGTTCGGCTTTGGTTTCGGCCAGAAAACCTCGTTCATAAGTAACTACTCGTAACTATTACGAATGAACGAGAGCGCGATAAACGTCCCGATGCACTTTTTATCATCTCTAGATCAACTTCTAGAGATTAATAAAATTACCTATTTATATTATACAGTCAGTAAAAACCTTTAATTTAAGTTTTAAAATCATTTTATTATTCCGTTTAGCCCATCTTGAACTGAATATCTTATTCTTAGGGTTTTTAAGCCTTCGGCTTCGGCCAGAAATTGACCTTCGGTTGGACACAACGACACAGTCATACGCTCATTAAATTTTTTTATGTTTATTTTGTTAAGTTACGGCCTATATACGTGCTACTCCTGGACATATGCCACCTCTCAGTTATGAGATAGAATATTAATGTTTATTTCTTTTTTTGAAATTTAGTTGATAAATCTTAATGTGTTCATGAGTGAAACTAACACGAAACCCTTAACAAAAAAGTTGACCAAGTGCTTATTTGGACATGAGTGAAGTAATGTTAAATGCTACTCTATTAGGTACTTAAAGTTATAATTTTAAGGAAATTGCATTCATAAAAGCGATTTTTAAAAGTAAAAGTAGGGGAGGGGGGGTCTTTTCTAAAATTCAGTTTCACAAGTTATGATGTTGTGCCATAATTAGAGGTTCCCATTTTATGATAACTGATGCCTAAAGAGAATAAAATCAAACGATAATTTTAGATTTTTTTCTTAAGTAACTATTTTAAGACATAACTTTGCGCAGACTTTTTGCGCAACACATTCAACTCTTACGTCTTACACAAGAGCATTATAAAAGGATATTTATTATTTTAACATTTTGACGCAGGCTCTGCCCTTGCTAAACTCTTTATCTTGACATGTCCTCTCCGTTGTTTGTTTATACATAAATTGTTAAATATATAAATAAATCAGTATCTCCGAAGGAAATTTCATAGTCTTCTCATATAAATTCCAGTCAAACCGGATAAAAATCAAAAGCCGCCTACTTTTTAAAATGATTTTGAATTTTCTATACATTTTATTAAAATCTTTACATTAAAAGTCTCTTTCAATGACAATCTTTTTGAATCTTTTTAGTTATGGTAACCACTGGGAAAGAAACAAAAAACACACAATAGCGCGGGAAAAAAACATGTCAAAATAAACAAGGCAATATCGATTCCACAATACAGATAAACGTAAAACGCATTCGTAACGCACCCGGCGTGTCGGATAACAAGTGACGGTGACGGCACAGTATCTACTGGGAAGGATCGTGATAACAGTCCAACTTATCGCCTCTGATGTAACGACATTCCATGCTGACAGAAAAGGTCGCTCCCGAATTACGCGTTATGTTTACAATAATTCGATACTATTAACAAATTAGAAGAAAACGAATTAGGAAATTAGCTGAAACATACGGATCATCAAAGATATTAAACTAAAACTAAAAGAGGACCTGCAATAAGATAATCTTACATCGACAACAAATTGTGTCCACTGCCCGATTCACTTAAATAAAAAATAATCTATAGATAGGTATATTATATAAAAAATGTCCTGAGTGAATGGTCCATCTACCAACGGAGAGCTCAAACCGCTTGACCTTGAAATCTAAAATTTGGACAGTAGCTGTTCTTTATAACTTAGGCATCCACCAAGAAAATAATTTTTTAAACCCCTAAGATTATAAAATAGCTCCGTATTTCGCTTTTTTTTATCAGTGAATAGGCGGCAGGTACCGTGCCGTGTATGTTATATAGGTTCGTAACTTCTCTAAACTTTACTGTGATAATAACTAGTGAGTAGATAATAGTAACAGACTTCAAGAGAACGATTTTAAAAGTTTTTTAATACTACCTACAATTCATTCATAGCCTGTGGTAGTGCGGCGGCGTAAGAGGCGACAAAGAGAAATGAAAGAAGAGATGGCCATCAGCATGTTTCTGCTAACCTCTCATCATAATAATAAACTACAACTGCCAACACGCCTGCCAAGCGCGCCAGCAATGACAAATAAGGGAGATATTGTGGGGCAAATAATGGGGAGGCCTATGTTTAGCGGTGGAAATTTGATAGGCTAAAATGATTATGATTCATTATCATCAGCTATTAAATACTCCACTTCTTGATCGTCGATCGATACATGGCAAAAAATAATATAATTATATTATAACGTATCCATGGTATGGAAGTTCTGTTCACATAGGCTTAGCGCAATCGTAAAATGGAATTTTTATTATTAATCGTAATTATGCAAAAGAAAAAAGGAAAACTTAATCCCATTATACATTTAAACTAAATTCCAAGTTTGAGAAATAGTTGAAATAGTCAAGCTTATGTGTATTACCAAATAAAATCACGACTGGCTACTCGCAAGTGATCATAATGTAGGCGGTTTATTTTCATAGACTAGCGATAGTTTCAAAGTGAGAGATTTTACAGATAGAGAATTAGAGATATTACATTTTTAATCTAAATTAAACCCAGACAGAAGACAGACTGCAAGAGAACGATTTTAAATCTTTTTTTAGAATCAGATTTGATGAAATAAATAACAGATTTATTAAAATAGATATATTGGTCTAGTGTTCGTCAGCGCGATGGACCACATGATCAGCAGACATGTGGTCCGGGTTTGAACACCAGGTCGGGCCAAATCAGTTATTGGGAGGGTCTTAGCCCGGAATAGAAATTTACGGTGTTTCACCCCATGTATCTAAAAGCGTGCAGAACTGTTGTTCCTGCGCTTGATCTCCGATCGTGTCTGATTTCTGTCCCATCGGACTATGAGAGTGAGGAAATAAGGTGTGCACCTGTATTTGCTCACATACTCGTGTCTCTGGCTCTGGCACATAAGTAAAGTTGTAGATTCTAGATTGGAGTTGGAAAGAAAGAAAGAAATACTTTTATTTGGTACATACAAAGAAAAAAAGGCAAGACAGATAAAAATAGTTTTCATCTTAACAAAAACATTTAAAAAAAATAACTTAATATGCATCGAAATGGTCTCCATTCACTTTTCAGTCACGAATTGAATTCACCATAAGAGCTTTATAGATATGATATTTTATTTTTTACTTCTGATTGTCCCTAGGTAGACGTTAGTCTTCAAAAAATTCTTCCACTGCTTGACATCGGCTTCTCTAGTTGCGTTTGCTTTAATCGTCTCCCACCTATAACGCTGATCGCCGTCGCCGGACTGGATATCTTAGTCTGGCATAAACCTCATGGTTATACCACTATTTAGCAGAAGCCATAAGGTCTCTCTGGCTTCTTCTATAGTCAGCACCTATACCGACACCCCTAGGAAGATATGGGGTAACACCCCGCTAACATACGGCTTATATTATACCTATTACATACCCTCTCTTGCCTTATTCTATTGTTATGACTCTCTTAACATTCCAACCAGAACACAGAACTAGACTAAGCTAGAAAGGACTATAACTAAATATTATACTCCCCAAATAGAATAAGAATCCTATTGCCTGTAATCTAAGAAAATGAAACTTTTAATAAAATGTAAAAGCTGAATTTAAATAACTAAAAACGGTTAAATAATTTCACAAGTTTCTTCGGTATCGTGAATGGAGTTGACATGTATAAATTTCACAAAGACAAACATCCAGACCAGAAACAATTATTTGTAGGCCATACAAATACTTGTCCCGTGCTGGTTTCGAAACCGCAGCCCTCAGCGCCTCAACTCCTTACTAAGCCACTGCACTTTGCTTTTGCCACTCTTAAGAGTGGAATTATTAATTTATCTAAACTAATATGGGACCAACTCCTGACGTAAAAAGTATTCAATAAAAACAAATCATCAAAATCAGTTCCTAAGGGATGATGTTATCACGTAACATAAATCATCATCATCATCATCATTACAGCCCTTCGAAGTCCACTGCTGATCATAGGCCTCCCCCAAAGAATGCCACAAAGCACGGTCCTGAGCCACCTGCATCCATCGACTTCCTGCATGTCTTACCAGGTCGTCACTCCATCTAGTGGGGGGACGCCCTACACTTCGCCTGCCGGTACGAGGCTGCCACTCGAGAACCTTTCTTCCCCATCGGTTGTCGGTTCTTCGAGCTATATGGCCGGCCCATTGCCACTTCAGCTTACTAATCCGTTGGGCTATGTCGGTCACTCTAGTTC